TGCCCCAAATGGCCGTATCTAGACTGAAAGTTGCCCCAAATGGCCGTATCTAGACAGAAAGCTGCCCCAAATGGTCGTATCTAGACTGAAAGTTGCCCCAAATGGCCGTATCTAGACTGAAAGTTGCCCCAAATGGCCGTATCTAGACTGAAAGTTGCCCCAAATGGCCGTATCTAGACAGAAAGCTGCCCCAAATGGTCGTATCTAGACTGAAAGTTGNAAAAAAAAAAAAAAAGAGCGTCCAGTATAGGGCCCCTTTTTGAACGCTCCATTGCTATTGATTGGTGGGGAGGAGCACCTGCTGGCAAACATCGGGTCCACTATCCCATTCTAAAACACAACCATGTGGTGTTCTCTTCCCCCCTCCCCCCCTCAAAAAAAAAGGGAGGGCCCAGCACCCAAGCCTCGTATTATACAATCAATACAGTTCACCACACTCGAACACTCGGAATTTCAATTTGATGGCCCTCCATTTCACAGGGATTGACTGCTGCAGCATTCTTTTCCAAAAGGGGATTTATCTGTCTTATCGTCAATCCCTGCTGGCATGTCGCTATCTTTACCCTTAGCTACTGAGGCTGAATCCATTGCTTTCGGGGAAAAAGAAAAAAAAAGGAAAAAAAAAAAAGAAAAAAGAGAGAAAGAGGCTGAATCCATTGGGTCACATTCCTTGAACCACCAGTACGTTTCCCAGCCATTTTTTCAGAGTCGCGGTGTGCATGCTGCTCCGTCTCTCAGGGAGTACCGGGGAACTGTGTCGTGGTACATCCATCCACGCAAAACCGGTCTTCGCTTGGAGGGATGTCCGGCGCAATGGTGCCCCCGTATTTTCCAAGACAATAAACACAGCTGCAGCATGCACGCTGCGACTCTGAAACAATGGCTGCGAAAAGTGCTGGTGGTTTGATTATAGCCAACCTTGACATCACAAGGAGCAGCCTTTGGCCGGCAGACATAGGAAAGAGGGGAGGAGGAGGGGGCCAAGGCTGAGATGGGGGTGCGGGCTCTGAAGGTACTGGGGGAGAGGCGGTCCGGGAGGAAAGAGTGTCAGGTGGTGGTCCATGAGGTCGAGGGGAAGGGGAAGGCTGTGATATCAGTTGGGGTGAATGATCCTCTGTGCAGTTGGGGTTGATGCTTTTTTTTTTGGGGGGGGAAGGCTGTGATATCAGTTGTGGGGAATGATCCTCTGTGCAGTTGGGGTTGATGCTTTTTTTTGGCGGGGGCCAAGTACGTGGCAGTCAGTTTCCCTCAGGGTACTTGTACACTATCCGTCTCTGACAAATACTTCGGCATAGAGGGTGGTCCCCCACAGAATTCAAACAGGGCGCACATTTTTCTTACTTTTTGAAATGAAAAACCGTTGGACAAATATACAGGGGCCAAGTCTCACTTGCAGCGTTGAGCGCCTGAATGCGGAAGCTTTTGCAGAGATGTGCAGAAATGGTGTTGAGTTTCCTGAACTGCATGTCTCCACAAACACGTCCAGATTCAGGCGTTGAGGTAGCTCAACTCTGCTAGTGGGACTTAGCCCAAGGGCTATCAAAGTAGGCAACTTTAGCTGTTTAAAAAAATGCAGCAAAAAAGTGAGACCCTAAAAAATCTGCCAAGCGCCACTGCCGGTGTCTTGGCCGCAGGTGGCCGCAGGTTGTTTATTGGTAAGCAACCTACAGGGATTTTTTGTCAAGCACTACATAAGAATCAGGAATTTCTTTTGGGTGGTGAGGATTTGATATGTCAGAACTTGCAAGATTTTATTTCTTTCTGTAGCAGAGAACAGAAGTTCGCCACTGTTTCTTCCCGTCTTCATAGAGCATATTCTATGGGCACTTCGCCGGGGTTTCTTTACAGTCTGAAGGTTGAACTTTTGCATTTTCCGGGCCTTTGTGACGCCCTAACCTCACGCCCAGCGCGACTTCCTGATCGGAGTAGGATGTGGGCCTGGAAGTGCGAAAAGGGGTGTGCCAAGGATTTTTGGGAAAGTGGGGGTGGAGTCCCAGGTCAGAACTGAGATCTCCTGTGGCAGGGTTTCAGGGGCACGGGTGCAATAGGGCTAAGGGCGAGTTTCTTCCGGTCTGCTGGCGTTCTATATCGTGCAGCATAAGGCGGATGACATGCGCGGTGCTTTCAAGGCCGTCCGGTCCGCCTGTTTTGGCGGTGGTTGTTCGGGGAGAGGCCCGCCCGGTGTCGGCGCGAATACCCTTACAAGGGTATCCGCCCTGTTTTATGCAAGTGGCAGAAAATGGTTTTGGTTTAAAGTTAAGTATACCGCGCTAGGCGC